GCAGGTGTCCCCCCTCCTCCTCCTCCTCCACCACCACCTCTGCCTGGTGCAGGTGTCCCCCCTCCTCCTCCACCACCTCTGCCTGGTGCAGGTTTCGTACCTCCACCCCCTCCTTTGCCTGGGTTGGGGATGCCACCTCCAGCCCCACCACCTTTGCCTGGACAAGCGCCACCCCTTCCAGCGCCAGCCCAGGGCAGCACCTACCCGGCAGTCCCACAGGGCTGTGGGTTTCTTCCTCCTCCGTTACCATCTGGTTTATTTGCGATGGGGATGAATCAGGAGAAGGGGAGCAGGAAACATGTGATAGAGCCTTCACGGCCAATGAAGCCTCTTTACTGGACAAGAATTCAACTCCACAGTAAAAGGTAAGTTGTGGGGTTGTGAAGAGAGTGGTGTTTTCACTTTATGGCTGTCGTGATAGTGTCATGTTATGAGCAAAAGTGTTTACTTGCTGATAGGCAGGTCTTTGAGAGAACCTCAGTGCAAACAGGATTTTATTTGTAGTTTGATATGTAAATGGGGTGCCCATTTTCTTTAAAATGCACAAACTCTGACTAATGTTATTTGCAAATAAAAGCTCTTTGAGGGTAGCATTTTCAGCTGTCCTTTAGGGTTGCTTACCACACATTGATCAAAGATTCGGGGGTGACTGTGCACCACTAAGCGTTCTGTGAGATGGTTTTCAAAATGTCGTATTTGTGCTTACTCTCAACTTTCAAGATAGCCTTGGTCTCTCTTTGGAGCAGCTTGCAAGTTTTGGTAGTGTCTTACCTCTAGATGAATGTATGCCAAACGCATTTTATCCTTGTCTTTCCTTTCTGCAGTGACCTAGAAATCCTTTTTTTTTTTTTTCCACCTTGTACACTCAGCAGACAGATTCAAAATGCAATATCTCTGCATGGCAGCATAAAGCTATTCTGGTAACCCTTACTTTGATATGACTTTAATACACTTGTTTTCAGTTGTTGATGCTTTTTGTTTGTTTGTAAAATATTCTTGGTCGTGAAAAGAAGTTTCCTCATTAATCTCTTCTTTATGTCTCTGAGTACTGATTGTAAAACCCTTCTGCTGTTATTTAATGATGAATTTCTTCTTTCTTTTCAAGTTCTTGCCACTGTCACACAGGTGGTCTGCAGATAACTGTCTATTTCTACTTCTCTTCGTGTCCATGTCTGTACGTTTTATAGCCTATATGTAGCCTATTTGTATTCCTGTGGATGTAAAGAGGGTGAATATAAATGAGCCTGACCATTATTGTGTGTGAACAAAGCAGCATGGGGGAGAATCAACAGTACATCTTATCAAAATGCTGCTAGTAGAAGTTAGGCAACAACTTTTAAATTGCTGCTATTTTATTTTCTTCATTCCTCCATTTATGACCTCATTTAGTTTGACATTGCCCTACATAGGTCTTTTGCTTAACTTTAGAGATTCTAGTGCTTCACTTGTGTGGGAAAAAATTGAAGAACCTTCCATAGATTATCATGAGTTTGAAGAACTGTTTTCTAAAACAGCTGTTAAAGAGAGGAAGAAACCCATTTCGGACACCATTACAAAAACAAAGACTAAACAAGTGAGTACTCATTTAATTTCAGATCTTTTCTAGGCTGCTTTTTACATAAAGACAGATTTTTGCATGCAGCTGAGATGAATTTTGCCTGCTGTGAAATCGTTACCATATATAAATATGCTATATGTAGAAATATAACAAAAGGAGAAAATCTAGGATGAGTTTCAAAGCTTATGTGTTAAATACTGAAGATTTCTTTTTTTATAAATTACTTTTCAAGTATGTATTCTCTTAAAAATCTACACTTTGTCCACTTTAAAATTAACAAAAATAAAACTAATTAGGTGCATATATGACCCTTTGAAATTGACTGTACGTGTGCATTGAGTAGTATATAATTTATTCTGATTAATTTTATAAATAATGAGTTGCATATGAATTACCATGACTTCAGAGAAAAGTTATGTTTAAGAATCTAAATCCTAATGTTATAACAATCATAACAGTTCTAAGTTTGTGTTGTGTTTATACGTACAGTGAATATGAAGCTTATGCATACCATAAATGACAAACACATTTGGGAAAATCCAATGTTAATCAAACTGTTTTTTTGGAATGATGTACAATCAAATGAAAATAAGAAACATAAGATAGAAGCTCAAGCCCTGGGATAGGAGAATTGAATCTGTTTATGTGCCTATAGAGCTGTAACGTTCTGCTATCTGTGTGAAAATTGAATTGTGGTGGTATGATAAGTAATTTGCAGTTAAGCTTTTGGGCTATAGAGGAGAACGTTCTTATCCAGAATCCTAAACTGCAGTTAAAGTTCTTGTTTTATCTCATCTTGACATTCCTGTACCCAATTCAAGACTAGGCTGTTCCTTCCATCATCTTTTAACATACAGGTTAATGCTATACAAGCTTTTTGCACTTTAGCTATACAGTGAGACTCTTCAAAATCTCCATGCAGTAGATCTTATGTGTGAATATGACCTCCCCACGTGGTACTTCTGGAGATCTTGCCCCCCAGACACGCTTTGGTCAGCAATATAAACATGCAGGTGCTCTTTACTCTGCTGACAACCTGCTGCAAGCAACAGAACTGGTAGTGAAGTTAGGATGATTATCCAAAGGTGTTGGATAAGACCTTTATCTGGAGGGATGGGAAGGATAGTGCAGCTGTTCATCACATACCTGTGTGCTGTACTAGCTGGGATGGGAGGATATCTATCCCAGATGGGAGGACTATCTGGGAGGAAAGATAACAGTGTTGCTGCTACCTTGCTGTCCTGCAGTAAATCTCCAAAGTGCAAGACCTTTGCTCCTCTTCCCTCCTCCTAGAAAAAGTCCCTTTTGATGGCTGTTCCTAACTAAATTAGTGTGATAGCTCTTTAAGTAAAAAAAAAAAGGAATGCAAAGGTATACCTGATGCTCAGCCTATGAACTGTTGGTCCATTCACATCTCATGAGGTTTGGTAATGCACATCTCTAAACAGAGTAGAAACGACGACTGTTCAATTCTGTAACATAAACAATGGTTAAAGACAGACAGCAATTATGAATAAACACTAGATGTGGATTTTAATAGTAAGAGTATTTTTCTCACAATGACAAAAGCTTAGATATGTTGTCAATAAATAAGTACAACATAGATACAACTAAAAGAAAATGACTGATTGTTCTCAACTCCTTTGAAAAGAACATGTTGTTTGACAGAAATTTCCACACAGAAGTTTAAGGCAATATAAGTAGGTGTTGTTGTCTAGAATGAACATTCCTGTGGGCCATCTAAATTGACAGAAGAGAATCCCCTGCGTGTTTCTCTTCCTCTGTTGATCAAACAAATGTACCACTCTCCGAAAGAGAGGGAAATTGCCTAATAGAGAAGTCTGATTTGTTAAACTGTAGTATCTGGGGGGAAAAAGATCAACTGAACAGATAATCGTGGGCTTTCATTAGAACTACAGTTAGAGCTATCATTTGTTGCGGATGTCAAAGTTAAACGTTCATGTGTGCAAATCCAGTTTGGGCTTTTCATAGTATTGACATGAGACAACTGAAGTAGAGTAGCTTCACAAATATATTCTACGTACCCCCTCTCAGCAGTTTGGAATGCAGGCCTTCATTTTTGAAATTCTCTTCATTTATACCACAGTAAACACTTGGATAATGAAGTCCATCCATGTTTAGCAAAAGAAACAGTTATTTGGGGAAAGCATGGCTGTAATTCCACAAGTATGTTTTTATAGGAAGCACCAAGTGCTGTTTAAGTGGTTACTGACTTACATGACTTCTATGATAGTTACGGGTGTTGTAAAGATCTTACAAATGGTGTTTCTGCAGTGATTTTTACAGGGACGGGTTATGCAAAGCAGATGTGCTCTGTCACCTGTTGAGCTATGGAGAAGCATTGTACAGACAGAACCAGGACCCGCAAAGCTCGCTCTGCTGCTTTCCAGAAGCATTCTAGTCTGGCAGTTGGTTTTCCTCCTTGCATTTATGTGTGGATGTGCTGAGCAAATATATTGCTTAGATGGATTTGATGTAAAATACTAGCTACACTGCAAATTGTAGTCAGGAAAAAATGCCCAGATAACTTTCAAATGCGTAAAATATTTGATATTTTATGTAAATATCTGATTTTAATAAAACAATATTTGTATTATCAGCTGAAATAAAAATGCATT